CAGCGCGTAGATGGAGATGCGCCCGGTGTACTGGGACAGCTTTCCGTACAGCAGCGAGCACAGTGCATCGGTGGCCGCGAAGCAGATCATCACATAGCCCACGAACTGGATGCCCAGGGCGCAGGTAACATAGGACTGCGGGGGAGAGGCTCAGGTGTTAGACAGAGCTGCCCCACCTGTGCGAGAGCCGAGGCCCATGTGGGAGTTTGAGGTTGGAAGCTTTGATCCGGGGATGCAGTTTGCGCAAAAATGCATCTGCGGGTGCAGCCGACATGCCAGTGTGACCTTAGTCTCCCAGCGCAGGAGAGCAAGGCCAGCCTAGCTAAGCAGAGCCCCTGGGCAAGAACACAGAGGGAGCGGTTGGGACAAGGACTGGGACAAGGGTCCTCCACGTGTCTTTGCCTCTCATGTGATAGTCTTGTCATCATTCTCACGGGCCTGAAGAACCATTCTCAATGGACTGACAATTTCCTAGAAGACAGACAGTTAAGGGCGGACTGGAAGGGAGGGAGGGCATGCCAACAGGCGTCCTCAACAACCTCCTTAAATGCTGAGCACCCTGGGCCAGGGGCGGGACAAGACCTGCTGGGCGTGTCTGTCCACAAGGGCAAGTCAAGGACAAAGCCACACAGGAAGGGAATGGGGCCACATGCTGAGGGCAGAGGGCTAAGACAGACCACAGAGGAAGGAGCCCAGAGGGCAGGCCCGTGAAGGACAGTCCACAGAGAACAGTCCATAGTGGGCAGTCCACAGTGGACAGAGCTCAGAGGAAGGACCCACAGAGGAAGGCCCACGGAGGGAGGACCCACAGAAGACAGACAGACAGAAGACAGACTGCAGAAGACAGACCACAGAGGACAGTCCACAGTGGACAGAGCTCAGAGGAAGGACCCACAGAAGACAGACAGATAGAAGACAGAACACAGAGGACAGTCCACAGTGGACAGACCTCAGAGGAAGGACCCACGGAGGAAGGTCCCACAGAGGACAGAACTACAGAAGACATAAAAAAGACTGCAAAGGACAGTCTACAGAAGACAGACCAACAGAAGACAGACCACAGAGGACAGACCTCAGAGGAAGGACCCACAGAGGAAGGACCCACAGGGACAGACTGCAGAGGACAGACTGCAGAGGACGGGACCTCAAAGGATGGAACAGCAGAGGCTGTAGCTGCCATTGGGTGGGGTGTTGATCACAGGTCTGATGGGAGAAGCAGAGGGGTCTTGTCCCACGTGGTAGGAGAAACACCACGTGGGAGGTTGGCCACGTTGCTCAGACTCTTGAACTGCTAGGCCTCCCCATCAAGGCTGCCCTGGCAGCAGCACGCCCGGGCACGGGGCAGCTGTCCACAAACATGGCTGTTGTCTACCTGAAATTCAAATTTTACTAGCACCTTCTTTCTGTCTTGCCCAGGGAGGGAGCAGAATTGCTGTGGATGAGAGAGGGGGCGAAGCAGGCTGGGGTTCCTCGATTAGGGTGGACTGGACCTCGTGGGAAGGGCCCAGGGGACACCAGTCCCATGCCCACGCTTGCCGGGCTCCTCCCAGCACACCCCATCTCACCCCAGTGCCTCTCGGAAGAGAGACTCCCACTCTCATCCAGCAAGGAGATGAGAGCCTCACTTCTGGGCGGCCCTCCGTGGCATCTGAGAGGGTGCCTCGGGAGAGACCACCCTGCAGTGGGCAGCTCCCTGGTGGGTGGCAGCCAGGGCTCGGGGTGTGATCGGCCAACTTCAGAGGAGGAAGGGCACTCGGGGTGCCTGGCTTTCCTGTCCCACTGCACCCCGCCCCCAGAGCAGGAGGGTGGGCAAAGATGCTGGTCAGGTGGGGGCAGGTGGCGCTCACAGAGGGGCA